TCATTCGATACCTTCCAAATTACATAACATAACTAAATATTAATTTTAACAATAAAAATAACTAAACTTCTAATTTTCAAATCTATAACAGAGATCATGAGTGCTATACCTTTTTACCAGCTATTGTATATTGTTACCCCATTGAAATTCGTTTCGTCTTCTGGTCTTCTAAATTTTGCCAAATTCTGCGTAGTTTCTTTTTCTCGGCAATTGTTTTTTAAAATAATTATTGGGCATATCAATGATACTTTAGATTTCTTAATTCCAGTTTAGGTTTTCAATCTAAATCTCTATCTAATTTTGTTTTTAGGGGAATCTTTAGATCTCTTCTAGACTCTAACAACAGTCTGAAATTTTAGTTTATGTTCTGCAATAAATACATTTTTCTTGTAACTGTTAACTGTCCACACCAAGAAGATTTGCAAATGAATGTCGTTTATTCCTATCTTCAATAATAAAAGAAACAAAAATTTACTTTATTATTTTAATTGGGTTGATTTTGGTGCACACAGAAAACAAAACAATAATTTGAATTTGTGGTCTTAAAATTGAAGCTGTCATAATAGATTAAAATTTTCCTATGTTTATAAATTAAAAATTGACTGAGGCCTCCAAAATTTAAATTTATTAGATGCACCACATTCAAAAAATTAGTGTATATATTTTATTTTTTTTTATTTTATTATGCAAGCTTATGTCATAATTTCAAATTAAACTTAGAATTCCGAAATTATTTGAGTACGAAATTAAAAATAGGGATGATATTTTTTTTAAATTTCACTACAATGTTTAGTTTCAAATTTGAAAGCCGATAAATGCATTTCCCAAAAAAAAACTGAAGTTCATTCTATTAATATAAATATTATACTGTTGCCATGACCTATTAATTTATATTTATATAAATTATAATATAAATCGAATATTAATAATAATAATAATTAATACAATTATAATTTGCACCACCAATTTATTTTATTTGAAGAACTTATTTAAAATTTATTTTGTGTACGATAAAAATGTAAAATGTATATGTATGTAATGTAAATGAATATAATTTAATTTTTGACTTATTTTATGAGTGTAAATAATAAAAAAAAATGTAGCTAAAACGTAGCTAATAAATAAATATTTGAACCATGTATATATAGTAAAACAGCAGTCGCCAAACTTTTTGACCTCACATACCACTAAACTGAAAACATTAAATGTTGACGATTCTAAATATGAAATAATTTATACTTTGGGAAATTTATAAACATGCAATGGAAATTGCAAAAAGAATAATTAGAATCTAATAAAAACAGAAATTGATAGTATATTAAAATTACTCTGCGGACCACCAGTGGTTGATTATCACTTACCAGCTTGGTTGGTAAATGTGAGTTCAACTTACATTTATCCACCATTTCCGGAAAATATCCACATATCCTCCAGTTAACATGTATTATTAAACAAAATAAATTTGTTATTTTCTATATGAAAAAATCTACTCTATTATTTATTTTGTTTAATTATAATAAATTATTGTCTCTTTTAACATTAAAATCTTTAATATATGTACTCTACTATAAAAATATAAATCTGCGGTATGTTTGAATTGACTGTAATAAAAACACTTTTATTGTGCAGAAATGTGTTTCTGCTAAAATTTTAGCAGATACCTTAAATTCCCCTACTCCTTGTTCTCTTCTTTCATAAAAACATTACATTCTTGGCCGCATATATAGTAGTACAATGTTTCAGTTGCTTCAAACATTGAGAAGGATCTAGAGAAACGAAATAACGATTGAAGCCGTCGCCAAGAAAAAGAGTTCGTTGTTAGTAAATATTCGAAGCTGCAGGGAAGAAACGGCACTGTCAGGTCTTTTGTGAACAATCGGAGAGAAAAGTGGTGTAAAATTGTTTATTCATACGAATAAATATATTGGAAATTATTTTTTATCAATTTGGATAGTATTCGCATAATGTATAAAAAGCTGACAGAATAATAACGTAAGTATGTGCGTGAAAAAGTTTCAAAAGTAGATGGATTTGATAGAAAAAGTAGCGATCGAAGCGTCTTCATCGGTACATAACAAAAACTAATTTTTGCAAATACTGGCGTTTTAAAAAATATCATATTAAAAATGAAAAAATTGATCAAATTATTTTCATAAACAAGAAACAAATGTAAGTAGAAGCTATTTAATTTATTTTGCGAGTTGTCTTATTAACTTGTTCGTTATTATTTTTACAGAATCTAATGATTAAGTAAATGAAAATGTTTTAAATGTGTTTTACATTCAACAATACATTATCTATTATATAGTTTTTAGTTATTTTTTAGAATTTATTCTATTTAGATTTAGTATATGTATGCATTAAAATAATTATTTGTTAATAATTTTAACATATATTAATGAGGGAAGCTGATATGTATAGTATGCAAATCATTATTTAATGTAAATAATATAACATGAAAATGTTAAAAGTGTTTTTCTAAATTTTTAACAGAAATGCCTCAGGGTTCAGTTGTAGTTATAGAATTTATTAAATTATATATAGATAATAATAAACATATGAAACGTTATTCTTTTAAAGTGGGATTTGGAAAACGACTAATTATTGGTAATTTTAGTCAGATATAGCATGATTTCTTGATAAACTAATGAAAATATTTTACTATAATAAGCTAAAAATTAATTAGAAGTAAGGAAATTATGTACAAATAAATAAACTACTTATTTTTATTTCACATTTACAACTGTAATATTTATAAAGTTGTAATGTTTATGCATTAAATTTACAATTTAATTTAAGAGATTCTATCATATATAGATACATCATTTCTAATAATAACTTCAACTACTATGTAATTATTAAACTAATTACTTTGTAACTATTACTCGGAATTATCTTAGGAATATGTTTAGCAATAAAGACTTTCTTCTTGTAAGTGTGAAATTGTGAAGGTTCTGAATTAACTGTCCATACGAAAAAATAATGCAAATTAAGGTCGTTTATCTGTATCCCTAAATCATTTCTAATAATAATAATTATTATTGATTTTTAGGACTTCAGTGTGCACTGCTCATAGGATATATTAGCTGGTGCCTTAAAAACAACATTGTAAACAAGATAAAACCAAACGAAATAGTATCAAAAATATTAATATTCAAAAAATATAAAAAGGATGAAATGCACATTTATTTTACAATTTTACAAAACTAGTATGGAAAAAAACTGCATTTAAAGTATTTTTTATTTGTAAAATAAGTAAGACTCATTGAATGTATGTATGATAACTTTTTTTTAAAAAAGTGAAGACCACTTAAAAAAAGGCTCTTATGTTATTAAACGTAAAAACGTTTATTTTCTTAAAAAAAATTAATAATAATTGTGGCAAAATGAAATTTAACAGTTTTATAGTGTAAAAAACATCACACGAATTGATTAACGTTTTCCAATAATTATAAATCTATTTTCGTTTTTTTTTTAACGGATTTTCAAGCAAGAAGTAAGCAAATACACATCTTAATTATAAACTAATAATTAAGGCATCATTATTATATATATTTATTTGTATTTTTTAAGTAATTTATAAACTATAAGAATTTCGGTACTTCAATTTTTCATTTACTACGCATTCGGTTTTAAATATGTAAAAATCGAGGTGTACTTCAGAAAATCTTGGCCATTTTATTTCCCAGAAAACTGAAGTTTTTTCTTTAACATTACAATTACAAAAGGAAAGTATTTATAAAAGTGTTAATAGTCTTTTTTTTAATAATTAACAAAAATTAAAACATGATAATCAATGAAAGAATATCTCAGGTTTCAGTTGTATATTTATAGGATATATTAAATTATATATTAATATTAACATATAGCTAAAGTGAAAGAATATTTATATTGTAAATTCTATATATAGGTCAGAGAATCAAGTAGCCATTAATAAAAAATTGCAGAGAAGCATACAACACAAAATATATACAAATGTGTATTGGCTGCTATAGAAAAATATTATTCTCGAAGGCGGAAAAACTACTTGAACAACTAATTAATTTATAGAGAAAAAAATATTAAAAAACGGTTTTTTAATTCATTAAATTAAATTTATTTATTTGCAAATAATAATAATCTAAGAACAGAAAGACTGTGATCAATACCTGCTTTTTATGTAAACAGAATAATATTTATAGTAAGAGTAAAAAAAAAAACAAAATCAAACATTTTCATACAATAATATAACCAAAAGTTGCAAAGGGCTATTGACTATAAGTGTTTTTGCTCACTTTTAATATTATAAATAAGGTTTATTATTTATAATTATAAACGATTAAACCATAATTATATTATAAGAACTTTGCCACAAACATAGAAAAACTTTCTTCTAAATTAAGTTTTTTGAACAAAAAAGCCGCAAACAGTGGACCTTGCATCTGATCATATGTATGGAATTGCTGGAATGTGTCCATATCAATATTAAGTTTCGAATGGCCATTAATAACAATATCAAACAATTTCTCTGACATTTCAATCAGACGATTCAATTGGAGGTAGTATTGTTTTAGCATTAAACGTATACTTTCCTGATTATATTCCTGGAGGAAATCACTTATTATTAATTATTAATCTTATAATTTTCAAACATCTTCACTATAGATTCCAATTCAAGTTTGAAAACAGTCCAATACGTACATTCATATATCATAAACGACTTCGTCGCAAGACTTTCGCAAGGATACCAGCATACCTTAGCCTATACGGTTCGAAAGTCATAGGAAGATCTTTAATGACCAATTTGTTTCGATTTGTTACTTCTGTATTTATTTTGTCGAAATGCAAGAAGAACTGAGGCACCATTTCATTCAATTTGAATTTAATGAGTAAAACTTTGTCTATCTTGGAATAGCACATTTTATTTGTATATATTCTCGATATAACTCCAAAGAAGAAAATCACTGTCAATGCTTACCCTAAGCCGGTACTAATGTTGTGATACTACTGCCTTACCAGTCTATAGTGGGATCCATTAATTGAAATTCATAAGAATGCGCAAGCGCGTATACTTTTGTTTACTTAAGACAATGCCGATTTGTTTACTTTTGAGAATGCCCATTTGTTTACTTTTTGGAACGAGGATGACTATTCTTGACGCCATTGTATCAGAAACTTTTGTGATCTGTGGTACTGTGTTCCTTAAAATTTTAAAATGTCTACTTCAGGCTTCTTTTGCTCTGTTTGTGCAAAAACATATGCAAACCATTCAAATTTAAGGGCCCATGTAAAATTACACCACGCTGGTATAGTATAAATTATAATTTGTTTGCATTATTGTACATTATTTATTTTACAGATCAGCTTAATGAAATTGCTCCAAATAAGATTAAGTATAAATGTGAAATTTGTTCAGAAAGTTATACCTCAGGACTGAAATGTCCTTTATGCGAAGTTATTGATGTCAAACCAGCATTAATTCAACATTTTACATTGGTTCACAATATAGATATCAATATTGAATATTGACTATTGAATATAGATGAATATTGACTTTAAAACAATTGAAGAATTTAATAGCTGGAAGAAACAGATAGAAGAAGAAAACGCAGTATTCTTTCCCAAGCGCCACGGAACATTTAAATCTGCTATATATATCCGGACGAGATATCAGTGTCATAGGTTAGGAACATATCAAAGAGAAGGCAGAGGCCTAAGACATTTGAAGATTAAAGGCTCGAAAAGAATTAATGCGTTTTGTCCTGCATCTATAATTCTTGATTATACAAATGGTATTTACAATGTTAAATATACAAGTACCCACATAGGACACACAAATGAATTGTGTCATATTTCTCTTCCAAAGAGTAACAGATTGATGTTGGCAGGTAAATTGGCAAACATTTTGTTACATAAATTTTCAAGAAAATAACAATTTATTGTTCACAGATAAATTGGCAGAGAAGATTCCAATTGAAGACATTAGAGGTTCACTTCATGATTCGAAGTTGGAGCGAATTCATCTTGTCACAAAGCAAGACTTAAGAAATATAAAAAGGGACTTTCATTTAGGTAACTCCACAATTCTAGATAAAAATGATGCAGAGAGTGTAGATTTGTGGGTAGAAAAACTGACATGCGATGACTGCATCCCTTTTTTATAAAAGGCAGAATGAGTTTTCTTCAGAATTCTCTTTCCTAAAAGAAGAGGATTTTATGCTGATTATTATGAAACCAGGACAAAAGCAAATGCTCCAAAGATATGGGTCAGACTGCATATGTGTGGATGGAACTCATGGGACAAATGGTTATGGGTTCCAGTTGCACACATTATTGGTGTTAGATGATGCAAGAGAAGGATTCCCATGTGCATTTTTCATTTCAAATCGGTCTGACGAACAGGTTTTGGCATTATTTTTCTTGCATTAAGGACAAATGTGAGCTGAATATAAAGCCTAAAGTCTTCATGTTAGACATGGCTGATTCATATTATAATGCATGGATCCAAGTAATGCAACCACCTGAATTTAGGTATTATTGAATTATTCCTTTGGTATGAGTAACTATTTTTTTTTTATTTTTTAGATTATATTGTATTTGGCATGTGAAGCAAGCATGGACCAGAAATTTAAAGAAAATTAGTTCTAAAGAGAAACAGGTATGTATAGCCTGGAAAAGTTCGAAAACATTTTAATATTTATTAATTTCNNNNTAGGAATTTAAGGCACAGACACAAGGACAGTGAAAAACTAGACTTAGGAACAGTTTTGATTGGGGACAAAGGTGCATACGAGGTATATACTAAATCGAACGAGGTATTCACTGTTCAGGAAAACAACAAGACATGCTCTTGCAAAATATACTGCAGCATATGTGAAATGTGCATGCATGCATATTCTTGTACATGCAGAGATTACAGTATCCAGTGGAATATGTGCAAACATGTACACTTGGTACAAAGATACAGGAAGGAATATCCAGAGTCCATTCCAAAATCAGAGGAAATATGTTCGGGTATGTTGCAATTTGAACCCAGCATAGTTCATTACTTTATCTTTTATTTCAGATGATGAAATTGACCAAGACTGTGGGCAAACACAATCAACCAAAGTAGACGTTATGTCGTCTACTTTGGTTGATTGTGTCAGCAGGAAAGAGGAAGTCAAATCATGCTTGGACCATAGTAAACATTTCTTATTCAAAAGATTACGGGCAGTCATGCAAAATGTAAATTCTACAGAAGAGAGGGATAGGTTTAGTAGATGGATTGATTTAATTCAAGAAGATTTTAATCCTCAAAATAAGAAATCTTCACCATCAACCTCCTCTGCACCATCAACTTTCTCTGTACTAGCAACCTCCACTTCACCATCAACCTCCTCTGCACCATCAACCTTCTCTGTACTAGCAACCTCCTCTTTACCATCAACCTCCTCTTTACCATCAACCTCCTCTTTACCTTTAACTTCCTCTTTACCATCAACCTCCTCTTTACCATCAACCTCCTCTTTACCATCAACCTCCTCTTTACCACCAACCTCCTCTTTACCTTCAACCTCCTTTGTACTAGCAACCTCTACAACATCAACACACAATAAAAGAATTAATACCCAAAGGAGGTTGTTCTCCACAAAAAAAAGAAAAATTAGCAGAAAAGAAGAAAACAAAGAAAACGTAGACGTTTTATCTTTTCAAATGTTGTGCAATCCTAATCAATTCAGTATTAAAGAAGATTGAAGACCAAGAATTATTATTTAGTTTATTTTATATATTATATTTTTATGTTTATAAATTACAATTATTTATTTTGGTGATGTGAGTAACTTATTTAAAATTTCATGATTCAGTTATCCGCATGCGCACTTCATTAACTCCAAGTGAATGATCGCTCGTTCGAACGTAACGTAACAAAACTATACCCGCCACGCTTGCGCATTCTCATAAATTATAGGTAAAGATTAGAGAACAGACTCGCTTCTGACAATGTTGAGCAGAGTATCATCCAAGAGACAGAAGACGACACATCAACTCATCAAGTTTTGTAGAAATGGATATTTGTGAAGTAATTCCATCGCAAAAAGGAAATGATAAGATTTGTGTTCATGGATACTTAATGGTGAAGGAAAGAAACCGGGAGGACATTTGTTATTGGTGCTGCGATAAAAGAAAAATAACGTTCTGCAAGGCCAGAGTGACCACAATACTTCTGAATGGACAACATTACATTCGAAAAAGTGTCGATCACAACCATGCACCTGAAGCAAGAGCTGCCAAAATTGGCCAAATTATTGGTGAAATAAAAAGGCAAGCACTAGATACAAGAGATCGGCCATGTCAAATAATCCAAATAATCAAAATATTCTACTGTATGCCAGCAAAAACTCTCTTCGTCAAATAATTCAAAGAATAAGGCACGGAGAGAGGCCACCAGAGCCGCAATTATTAGAAGATATAAACATACACGACAATTTGAAACGTACATTAAATCGAAATTTCTTTTTAGTAAGGGATTCATCTGTCGGAGAAGGTAGAATACTCCTATTTACAACGATTGAAAATGTACAACACTTATCGCAAGCAGTTTAGTGTGTAATGGTACTTTCAAAACCGTTCCAACAATTTTCTATCAACTGTACACTATACATGGCCCAGTTGGCAATGAAAATTCCAGAATTTTGCCTTTAGTATATGCTCTAATGACACATAAAACGGAGGGAATGTATAGGAGATTATTTGAAGACCTAAATGATTTTGCTCAAGAAAACGGCGTGGTATTAAATCCATTTAAAATATTGACTGACATGAAGCTGGCAGCAATCAATGCATCAAAACAAGAATATCCGGACGTTTCAAACAAAATATGTTTTTTTCACCTCTGCCAATGTGGGTGGAGAAAAATTCAAGCAAGTGGATTGACGATGAGGTACGGCAATGACGCGGAATTAAGTCTGTGCCTGCGGCATCTGTTTGCGTTGGCTTTTTTCCAGCAGAAGAAATTTCAGGAGCCTATGAAATATTGCGTCCTCATTTGCCACCGGTGATAGATTGGTTTGAGAGTAATTATGTTCTCGGAAGAGTAAGAAGACACATAAATGGTGTGCCCATTCGAGGCACACCATTATTCCCTCCAGAATTATGGTCACTTTTCGATTTAGTGGAACAGGGAATTCCACGTACACAAAATATTGTAGAAGCATGGCATCGCAGATGGGAGAACTTAGTAGGTCGGGCGCACGTTGGATTACATAAAATCATAGAAGAATTGCAAAAGGAACAACAACAAGTCGAAATTCAAATTGAATGCATTATTCGTGGAGAACAACGTGTAAAGAGAAGACGAATGGATGTCGAACGAGAAAATAGAATCTTGACCATTATATATGACCGCCAAAACAGAACATTAATGAATTATCTTCGCGGAATGGCTAATAGTGTTTCATTATAATTATTTTATTCATTTATGTATTATAATAAAGATATTTTTAAAAATTCTTCGCTCGAGTTTTTTTTTATTTCTAGGGAGTAAGGCTTTGTTTATGATGATTAATAAGTGTTCCCACGAGAATCGGAATATTCAAAAATGTATTTCTACGTATCAATAGGATTGTTTACGCTTGGTGGAGGTTTCTTTGCATTTGTTTCTTTGTTTATGGTTATACAATAAAACGTATAGACTAAGGGACTTAGGAAATACATAAAATGTAAATTAAAAATATTTAAAATAAATTTCCGGGCAGTATTAATGTATTTGTTTTGGTTGACTTATTCATAATAAAATTGAAAAATAATCTAAAACTTATAAGATTATTAATTGTTGTTATTTATTGTTAATAACATAAACTAATTTTATTTTAGAATATTTCTTATTCTTAAGTTTTAAATAACAACAATTAATAATCGGGTAAAAAAGAAATATCGACCTAGGTCTTAAAAATATTTTTTTGAGTATCCGTCGTACCTATATTAAAATATAGTAGAATAATTTAAAAATGTTATAATAATAAAAGACACTGTCGGGATTTCGATTGTCGGGATTTTGATTGTCGGAATTATGGTAGTCGGATAGACAAGCTTTCGGTTGTCGGGCTTGCGATATAGACCCCACCAGCAGAAGTACTGAAACCGTTGAGGAGACTTAAGCAGATTCAAGTGACGGATGTGGCCCATATACCGAGTCTAAAATATCTATAGCGCGTTCATCCGGCAATACTACTTATAATATGAAGATATATTAATACAAAGTCCTTGTTAGTGTTGTTTTACTCGACAGCCTGACCATATTTATATCAAGATGACACGGGTGACAAAACTCTCCAATAATAAGAAGAAGATAATATAATATTACATAATTTACAGTTGGCAATTGAGGCTAAACCTGTAATATTTTTGTTTAAAATGGATCACTGCTAATTATCATACAACTTTGGTATCCTTGAACTAGTATTTGAAACGAATTTATAACATAAGTTAATTTAGTTGCATATACAACAGAATAAAATTTAAATGAAATATGTATATAAACGTTATGTTAAAAAAAGATGTTTTCTTTAATTGAATTGATATATATATATTTTGAGCAAACTCTAAACAGGTTCTCTTGCGGGCGAGAGCAGCTGTAAATTTTAAGAAGTTGGTAACCCATTTCCTGCGCGTTATATGGTATAAATCCAAACTTTGCGAAATAACAGAGTGCAATATTGATAAAATTTATTCGCCAAGTTGTGTGTTTCAATAAAGCCGTCCGTGTTTCCGGAAAACTTGAGAATTGGCCGCCAACTCACATATATATGCAGAGGCAAACAGAAAAATGTATAAAAGAAAGAACAACTAAAGTTGCATAACGTTTGCACCGAATTGACCTGTCACATGTCTTTCACAGAATATCCTTATCAGCTGGGAGACCTAAGCTGCATGTTAATTTATTCAAGAGCATGCGTAGAAACGAGAAAAATATATTGCCAACTGTAAAATATTACACACACATCCGCGCAGTGTGTTTATGTGTTGGTGTGTAAAATATTAAGCACGCACGCGCAATGTGTCATATATATAAATAAAATTATTATGATTCAATTATTATTAAAAATAAATACAAAACTACAAAAGTCGTTTTGGTCCATCCTAGATATACTCCCCTAAAAATTCGATTAATATTAAAAATCTGTATTATTTAGAATGAAAATGTTTCTGAGCAGAATTGTTTATAATAGTTAGCATTATATATATCGTATTAAAAGGCAATGCTTCCCTTGCATACAAATTTCTATTGCAAGTATTGCAGACATTTTCACAATTTTTTTTTATTAAATCTGCAGATAATTTTGAAAATTGCAATTTTTCTAATGGTAGACAGAATTCAT